GCCAGAGCCCACCGCGGCGGAGCGGCGCCACTTCTTTGAGGTAAAAACTTTGTTTGACCGGCTCCCTCCTCCATCGGCAGCTTCCCGCCAGCCCCGGCCCTGGCGAGGGCACCTTCGCCTTTGGTGGCACCTTCGCCTTCGGTGTCCACAGTCTGGAGCGGGGCTGAGGCAGGAGGAATATTGAAAGGGACGCTGCTCCTGCCGGTCACTTCCCTCCTGTAACGGAAACTTCCCCTCCTCCTTGCAAGCCTACAAGCCAGTAGTCGGGGCTGGATGGGGGTTCTGGCTTGTCCTGCCAGGCCACTTCAGGGCGAGGGTGCTTGCAGACTGGTCAGGCTGGAGCCAGCCTGTCCTGGGGCTCACCCACCTGGGGCCAGGAGGCTGCAGGCTCTGAGGATCACTCTGGCTGGAAAGTGAGACCCTGAGCTGTTGGGGGGTGCTCCCCCTTTCCTGCCCTGAGCCACCGCGCCTGCTGGGGTGCACCCAGTGCCAGCTCCTGGGCCTCCTCCCAGGACTGGGCCACGGCTTTGCCTGGCACAGCTGCGCCCTGCCCCTCTGGCGCCAGCTGCGGGGATCTGGCTCATGGCGCCGCCAGCCTCCCTGCCCCCCTTAACTATTGATCCTTTCTGGCATTGAACCAGAAAGATAAGAAATGAGCCCCACTCTGAGATTTAACTTTTTCTGGTGTCTGCTTCTGGGGCTCATCCTGGGGTGGGGGCCCGGGGCAGGGGAAGGAGAGCAAAAAAAGTGTGAGGTCTGCACGCGATTGCGATTTCTGCTGCCCTGATTCTAAATTGACGGTGTAATACCATGAGCTACAGCGAGGACAAGTCACCCGGAGTCAGCAGTCGGTCATGCCTGCTGCTCTTCCGCTTCGTCCGTCCCCCAGGCCTCCCAGCGGCAGTTTTGACCAGTTTACATGAGGGAACTTGATCTCAGGTTAGAATGAAACTAGAGAAAGGACCGCACTTCTGAGCAGCTCAATGTCCCCCCTTTTCTCATCCTGAGCAAGGGGGAGAGGGAGGAGGGCGAGGACAAGGTTTGCCTTTTGTTCTCCCTGAACTGCTGGGTCTGGAGCTGGTGCAGAGGCCGGTTAGACCGGTCTGCCCGGAGGCCCTGAGCGGCCTGGAAGGGAGTGGACAGGAAGAGCCGCCCTGCCCCGCCCAGTGCTTTTGATGTAAACCAGTAATCAGCTTTTTCCTATTCCGTAGAAACAGAAGGGCGAGCACAGCCGGTGTCTTTGGCGAGCGCAGAGGACCGAGGCCAGCGCGCCAGCTCAGCCCCGGAGTCCAGGCGTCCAGGGAAGCCTGCCCAGACTCTGGTGGGTGGGCGCGTCGGTGCCAGAGGTGGCTCCGGGACCAGCCCCTGTGGGGCTGCGCTTCTGCCAGCCACAGGAAGCCCCGCCCACGACTCCTGGCTGGGCCCGGATGGTGTGCAGGGGAGGCCCCAGGAGAGAGGGGACCCTCCTCCCCAGAGCCCCGGTCTGGGGCGCGTCCAGGCTCTGTGCTCTATCCTCACCCCAGCGGGGTGTGCAGCTCCTCCCCTTCCGGAGGACCCGGTGGCCTGTGTGTGCCCCAGCAGCCCAGGCGGCACCCCCGGCTCCCGCAGTGTGAGGTGGACAGCCCTCAGTGACCATCAGTGGAGCTCTGACACTGTCCCTCTGTCCCCCCGTCTGTTTCTCCTGTCCATCTCCCCGCCGTTCCTGCTCCTGCCCTGACCGCACTGCACCGCCAGGCCGGAGCCCGGAGCCGCACTGCACACTCCAAGGAGCCCTCTGTCCACCACGCCGGGGCTGCTGCTCGGCCTGCAGGGACTGCAGGCCCCAGCCCACCACGCCAGCCCCGCCCCAGGCCTTTTCTAGACCCATGAGCTCCTCCCTGGCGCCAGCTCTCCGTCGCCGGCCACGCCTGGGTTAGGCCGGCTTCTGGACAGCAGGGCCTCCGGGCCCCTCTGACCATGGAGCACCCTGAGCCCGGGGCCGGCGGTGGAACCGGGACCGCAGGCCTGGGGAGCCCTGACCACCGGGACACTCTGTCAGAACTGGACAAACTGCCTCAAGACACGGGCCGTGGAGAGGCTGCCGGGGCCAGCGAACAGGACCCCGTAGGACCCGCTTCGCTGCCTGCCCAGAGCCAGGGTGACCTCCAGCCTCTGCCGCCCGATGGTCCCGCCAGCGGGGCCGGGCACCCCAACCAGGCTGCCCCTGAGGAGCCGGTGGGGCCCGAGGGGGCGAGCCCCAGGCCCCAGGAGGCCCCCCAGTCCCCCAGGGCCCGGCAGCCCGAGCAAGATTTCTACTGTGTCAAGTGGATCTCCTGGAAGGGCCAGCAGACGCCCATCATCCTGCAGAACGCCAACGGCCCCTGCCCACTGCTCGCCATCATCAACATCCTCCTCCTGCAGTGGAAGGTAAGAGGAGTCGGGGCAGCTCATTATCGGGGGGCGTCCTCTGCCCTGCCCCGCCCCTTGACCACCCTGATTTTCTCAAACTGGTGTATCTCTCTACATCTCCAACTGGAACAGAGATAAGTGTTCATGAAACAAAAGATGCCCTGGGCTGCCGTGTCCTCTCTGGCCGGGGAGGACAGCTGCGTCACGGCCATTCCCGCCTGCTGCCAGCCGGGGGTCCCCATGCCCCCCTCCTCCCATCCGGCTATGGCTCCCCCCAGTATTCTGTGGAGGAAGGTAGCTCCCCGGCTAACCCTGGGGTCGCCCCTCCTGCCCCAGGTGAAGCTGCCCCCCCAGAAGGAGGTCATCACGTCGGAGGAGCTCATGGCCCATCTTGGTACGTGGCCAGGCCGTGAAGGGAACCGCCTGGAGATTCGAGCTGACCACCCAGCTGGACATCCAGAACGCGAGGGGCTCCCGTGGCCTCCGCCGGGGCGGGGCGGCTCGTCTGCCGGGCCTTTCTGGGGCGTGAGCAGCGAGTCGGGTGTCGGGTCTGCGGCGCCCCCGGCCGCCCCGAGCTTTCCCGGGCGGCTTTGCGTGGGCCCGTCTCTGCCTCTGAGACGTGGCAGGTTTGGATTCCAGATGACAAGGCCCTTCCCAGCTCTGAAAGTCTGGGGTTGTGTGGCAGCAGCCCCTCTCTGAAGAGGGGCCGCCTTAGCCCAGGGCCTGACCCGCCCTGTCTCCTAGGGGACCGCCTCCTGAGCATCAGGCCACAGGAGAAGGCCGAGGGGCTTCAGCTCAACTTCCAGCAGGTGAGCCAAGGTCTGCGAGGAAAGGGCTTTACGGCTGGGGGCACGAGGCCATCAAGGGAAGCCTCCTGCTCTCCTCCACGGGCCCCCGACTATGATTTCTTCTTGCAGGAGGAAGGGAAGGAAATGTCTCTCACTCAGACATTGGTTCACCTACCTGAGAGGAAGGGTGGAGGTGGAGCGGGGTTGGCGGAGGGACTTAGAGGAGAACCAGCGGGGGGCACAGAGGCTGGTTTCTGGAGGGGGGGCTGGGGTGTCATTCCCCGCCCCCCCCACGCGCTGAAATAAAGTCAGCATGTAACACCGGAGCGCGTCGGCCTCACAGGCGTGGGCTGGTTTGAGGACCGCTCTCCTTTCTCCCCCAGAACGTGGACGACGCGATGACCGTGCTGCCCAAACTGGCCACGGGCCTGGACGTCAATGTGAGGTTCACGGGCGTCTCGGACTTCGAGTACACGCCCGAGTGCAGCATCTTCGACTTGCTGGGCACCCCCCTGTACCACGGCTGGCTGGTCGACCCCCAGGTGCGGCCGTCTGCAGCCCAGCTGGCTCGGGAAGGCAGGCGTGTGCCCCGCTGCTCCTCGGGCGGCCCTTGAGGCAAACTCAAAACGGGCAAAGCGGCGGGCAAACGGCTCGGCTCTTTTTTGTTTTTTAAGATGTTGTGTGCAGACAGCTGAGGTACCGGCTGGAGGTGCAGGGCGGTGAGGAGTCAGCAGAGACAGGGTGGGGCGCAGGGCAGGCGGCTTGACAAAGTCCACAGCGGAGGGTGCCGCGGGGAGACGGAGAGGCTGCCGCGCCCTGGGGTGCGGGGGGGTCCCCGGCCGGTGCGGGCTCCTGCAGCGTCCCCCGCGGGCTGCGCCCCAGCGAGGCCTGATGGGCTGTCAGACGCCCCAAGTTTCGGGAGCCGTCGGCCACAGGGCTGCCGCTTCTGCGTGCTTGGCGCCTTTCCTCCCTGAATGCCCCCCTCTGGCTCTGTCCCTGTGCCCCAGAGCCCCGAGGCGGCGGCCGCAGTGGGGAAACTGAGCTACAACCAGCTGGTGGAGAAGATCATCGCCTGCAAGCACTCCAGCGACACCGGCCTGGTGACGGAAGGTGACCGCCCCTCCCTGGGGTCCCCGGTGCGGCGGCGGGCGGCGGTGTCCCCGTCCGCCACAGCCAGGCTCCAGGAGGGGTCTCCGCCCCTCTCGGCGCCGGCCCATCCAGCCGCCCCGCGCCCGCAGGCCTGATCGCCGAGCAGTTCCTGGAGACCACGGCGGCCCAGCTCACCTACCACGGCCTGTGCGAGCTGACGGCGGCCGCCAAGGAGGGGGAGCTCAGTGTCTTCTTCCGAAACAACCACTTCAGCACCATGACCAAGCACAAGGTGGGGAGGCTCAGCGGGGGGCGGGGGCGGGGGTGGGGCCCGGACCGCTGCTCGGGCCTCTGTCCCGGTTCCGTGTTCTATCAGGGCCCCCAGGCCTCTGGGCCCTCCCCGGGTGACCACGGCCGCTGCCCAGGCCTCCTCACGTGGGCCCTGCACCGACCGGTCAGCCGTGGCCTAGAACGTGGCGGGAGAGGGTCGGCTCCGACTGTTCCTGCGGGGAAGGGCTGGGGGCGGGCTGCGGCCGGCAGGAAAGTCTCATCCTCTCGCGGGAAGGGGAGGGCTTCGGACACGCGGGCTGCCACCGCTGGACAGTGCCGAAAGGCCAGGGTGGGGCAGGAGAGCGGAGGCCTTTGGCGCCCGAGGGATCGTCTTCCTGGCCCCCAAGGGCCAGCGGACCCTGGGGAGCGGGATCTCACGTGGGGCCCCGGCCGGGAGGCCCTCGGGCTCGACCACGCCGCTGCCGCACTCACACCCACTGGCCACGGGCTCGGGCGGCCCTGCCCTCTGCCGCCCGCCCGCCGGCCTCCGCACAGCCGGTCAGCCCGCCCAGGCGCCGCCTCCAGGTCTGGGCTGACCGCCCCCCCGCCCCCCGCAGAGCCACCTGTACCTGCTGGTCACGGACCAGGGCTTCCTGCAGGAGGGGCAGGTGGTGTGGGAAAGCCTGCACAGCGTGGACGGGGACAGCTGCTTCTGCGACTCCGACTTCCGCCTCAGCCACTGCCCGGGCCCGGACGGCGCGGCCGGCCCCGCCGAGCGGCAGCGGCAGGCAGAGCAGGTGCGGCCGGACAGTCCCGCTCACCCCTCAGGCGCGCCTGTGCCGGTCGCTCCTGGCCGGCGACAGTGCGCTTGCCGGGCTGAGGGGCCGAGGGCTGGGGAGCCTCCGGGTGGCCCCACACGCCAGCTCACGCTCCGCCCTGCCCCCAGGACTACCTGGCGGCCTTGTCCCTGCAGCCGCAGGGCGCCTCGGGCCTCAGTGACCTGGAGCTGGCCCGGCAGCTTCAGCAGGAGGAGTACCAGCCCGCCGGCCGGCCGGGCCCGCGGAGCGCACACCCGCGGACAGAGCGTCTTTGTGGGGTGCGCCTAGGAGGCGCCTTCTCAGGACCTGCACTGCCGTCGCCTTGGACTCGAAGGGAGGCTTGTAAGATATTCACGGAAT